CATCTGCTGTTAATCCCAGCATTGGGGAATCAGAAATAGGAATACCCTGAAACTCACTGGCCAGCCAATGTAGCTGAAACGAACATCGACAGATTCAGTGAGAGATTCTGTGTCAAAAAGCAAGGTGAACCTTGGGTCACTATATTTGCCTGGCGTGGACCCCTTGCCTCTACACACGTGCACACTTGTGTACATGTATACATGAATGTGCTTACAACCGCACACCACAGACACTCATACAAACAAAGGTGAGCTGTAAAGTACATGAGACTATAGGAGTTGTCACTGGATTCAATACTCAATACATAGAAATTAGTTTAAAACTAGAGATGACAACGGTGCCTATATTTTATTTTCTACCCAGGCTACTAAAGGATGCCAAACCTTGTAATCAATTGAGCCTGTATATAGAGTATTCAGTTCCAGTTCAATAATTCAGATCCCATTTGATAACCAAGTATATACATAATGCACACTGTGAAGTATACACTTTCTCTGGAGCCATAATAAAACCACAAAGTACAGTTTTCCATTCCTAAGTGACAAAGTGCCATTGAAGTTGAACCTCATTGAATTTAAGGGTACAATTCAGTTTACTCAACCAACAGGAACTTTGCCTTAAGCACACAGCTTATTCAATCAATTCCCGCTAGTTGACTTATCAGCCTTTCAAAATCAAATTGTCTAATAGGAACCCCAACATCTTTCAAAAGAGATCTGCTTCTCTCTCAAAATAATGTCCTAGTCTTTTTATCTACCCATATACTATTTTAAGCACATAATAAATCTTAAGATTTATATTAGCATATATCAATTATACAAGATACTGGGTTTCATTTAACATTTGCACACATGCATGCCATGCACATTGTATATATTCATATCCAATATTTTACTGTCCTTCCCTTCTTCCTCTAGCCCTCTTTTTCTTCCTAAACAGTCTTCTGTGTACATTCTTATCTTTTTAAATCTAGATTTTTCTTATGAAAAGAGCATGTGATGTTTGTCTTTTGTTCCTCATTCTTTCCTTCCATGTCCAAATAACAAACATGTCGAGAATTCAAAGCTAGTGTTCATTCCTATTGCCACTAACTCACTTTGGGCCCTCATTATTGCTGGTCTGGAAACACACATTTTCTCTAACTAGTCACACTTCATCTACTCTTACCTTCTGTTCTTAATTAATGTTGGACATTTGTTATTAAATTACTCTTCATCAAAGCATAAACTTTAAGCACCTAACTGCACTGCTCCAAAACACTTGAAGGACTTCCCACTGCATACTGGAAAAGCTAGATTACTTAGAATTCCATGTAAGGACCTCTGTGATTTGGCCCCAATTTAACTTTCAAGGCTAAGTTTTGTGATTCATTCTGTTGCATAGTCATCATTCAAACCCACAATCCCTTGCTCCCTTGCTCTCTTCATCAACATGATCTTTCTCCTGCTTTTCTTTGTGTACAGAATGCTCACCACCATCTTCACAGACCCAACTCTCATATGCTCTTCAAGATCTAACTGAAATGCCACTTTTCATATGATATATATTTAAGTCAACATCCATCAAATATGCATCACATACCTATTTGGTATGAAACACTAAGTGTAAACATTTGAAAACAAAGGCTTGCTTCCTTTAGCCTCTCCACATCAACACAATGTCTTTCCCATGAATTTACATAGCAAATGGATACACGTAAGAGTGCATAATACCATCCACATGGTATTATAAATCTTTTTGGTTATACTTATCTTTCCCTAAAAGAGTGAACTCCAAATCTTGTGAGGTTGATATAGAAGGCATTTGACAAACACATGCTAAATAAGTGAATATGTAATTATATTGATTTCCATAGAACCAGATCATATTATTTTCTAATTTAAGAGAATATTTCATGGTTACACAGACTTAGTTTCAATTTTATAAAAAAAAAACAATAGAAAGAATCTCAAAAGAAAAGTTTATATCTCAAGAGAATTAAAACACAGCATACACATAATCCTAGCAAGTCGTCATTAATAACATACCTGAAACATAAGAACTATTTTCATTCACAACTGGTCAAAGTGCTGAGAATAAGTATCAGTGGGTGCTCAGTTACAAATGAGACATTTGTAGACCCTGCCCCCTCACCAAGGCTCAGGGACCTTTATACAAGAGGGGGTAGAAGAACTTTAAGAGCCAGAGGTCAGGGAGGACTAGAGCACAACAGTGTCGTCTGGACATGACAGATTTGATGCACGCATGAACTCACAGTGGTTGTGGTTGTTTACATAAGACCTGTACAAGATCAAGCCAGTCAATAGTCTAGCATCGATGGGAAGGGATTCTTGAACTCACACCTCTAACGGAGGAGCTATAGAGAGTTGGTAGCTTCTGGGAGAGGGAAAGCCAGTTTTCTTTAAGGGTGTGGCTCCTAAGGTCAACCATGCTCCAGTGGATGATCCATATCCAGGAGTATATGGGTTAAACGAATTTGAGTCAATCAAAGGGTTATTAAATTTCAAACACGAATTAAGAGTGTATGGAAGTGGAACTGGATCTTGGAAGAGTTAAATAGACGACATGGAGGTGAGTATGATCAAAATCCATTGTATGAAATTCTCAAAGAATAAAAATATTTTAAGAGATCTATGTCTTTACCACAGATATAAGATTAATTTAAAAGTAGGTGTTGAATGGAGGCTGTTTCCATTCTTTCCCACTTGTCAGTTTCTTTTCTGTTTTTGTTATTTTCATTGTGGCTCAGGAGCGCTACCATGTCAAAGAAAGAAATGACTGATCAGATGTAAGAGCCACATTTTGTTCTGATTGAGGGAGTATGAGCAAAACACAAATATGGTTACTTACATGTCTCTTATGTAGAGAGAATGAATTTTTTACTGGTGCTGATATCTACAAACAATAGTAATAATAGTAGTAGCTTATATTTAATGCAGAGCATATGCTGCATAGTATAGTGTAATATATTCATTATCATATGTAATATTCACACAAGTCCTAGGAGGTAGATATTGTTATCATACTTATTTAATGTTGAGTAAAAAGAAGCTCAGAAGAAAAAGAGGCCTTAAAAAGCTAAATTACTTTCACAAACACACAGTCTGTAAGTAGAGGAATAAGATTAAACACTCTGCTCAAATCTTTACCTTTTTTCCATTTCTTTCTTTTTGTTCTACTTTTTTGTTTGTTTGGTTGGTTTTTGGTGTGTGTGTGTGTGTGTGTGTGTGTGTGTGTGTGTGTGTGTGTGTGTATGCTCATAAGTGTGTGCCTGTGAACATGTTTGTGTGTGTGTGCTGGAGATTGAACCAAGGACCTATATATGTTAAGCACACATACAAACACTAGTTATATCCCTACCCCCCTCTTCATTTTATTTTTAATTGTCCGTGAAATATCTATAACATAAATTACTGTTTCAAGCAATTTAAGGTGTGTATTAACAGTCACATTATTATATATTCAATTAGCACCTTTTCATCTTTCTAAATTAAAACTTTCTGCACATTAAACAATTCAACATTCTCTTTGGCCCCAGATCCTGGCAATCACCTTACTTTCTTCCAATACAAATGTAACTTCTCTATATAATTCTCATCATTTTTGGAATCATGCAATACTTGTCTTCTTATTACTGGTTTTTTTTCCAGGTCTTTAGGATTCACCACATTGTAACATGTTCAAATTTTTTTCCATCAGAATGCTATAACCTTGATTTTCTAATGTCTGACCCAAGTGGCCTTGGCTACGAGTTTTCATACCATTTAAGTAGCATTTACTATTTCTTCCTCAATCTGAGTGAACCAGAAATAATATTTTCACTAAGGAGGAATAAGTGTATGCTGTAGAATATTATTTTAAGTTGTGTTACTTTTGTTTATGTTGCATTTGTTCAACTCTGTGAATCTGTGTTACTTTGCCTGTCTAAAACACCTGATGGTCTAATAAAGAAGTGAATTGCCAGTGGTGAAGCAGGAGAAAGGATAGGCAGGGCTGGTAGGCAAAAAGAATTAATAGAAGGAGAAATCTTGGAGAAGAAGAGAAATCTAAGAGCCAGAGAAGGAGGAGGACATCAGGGGCCAGCCACTCATTTACACAACCAGCAACGAAGTAAGAAAGAAAGGTATACAGAAATAAAGAAAGGTAAAAGCCCAGAGGCAAAAGACAGACAGGTAATTTAAGAAAAGCTGGATAGAAACAAGCCAAGCTTAGGCTGGGCATTTATAATTAAGAATAAGCCTCCATGTGTTATTTATTTGGGAGCTGGGTGGTGGGCCCCCCAAAAGGACCCTCAAAGAGACAAAGAGCAAAAACAACCAACAACAAACATAGGTATTTGTGATGACTTCTTAAGGAATTGCTGAAAGAGCTCTGGAGGATACCTCTCATTCTTAGTTCCCTTCTAAAAGAGGAAAGTGTAAACTAAGGAGTTGGCAAGGTCCTTCCTAACATGAACATCCTGTCACTATTACTATGTATACACACATGACTGCCTATTATTGGACTATAACTTTATCTGTCTTTTCCAAAAATGGATTGTGGTAAATAGTGAATATTTTGATTATGAGAATCATAGTTCCTTTGAAGTTTTATCTGGAAGTACAGTGGTAGCATAGTATTTCCACAAATATCACAATGTAGTCAAATATTTTCCTATAAAATAATTTTTGCAAAATCTGTGAGTTCTATGCAGCTTGTGATAATGAATGTTTTATATTTTTAGAACAGAAAACTGATTATAGTGATAATAACAGTGGTGTGTGAATTTACTGAAACCCATGATACCTTTAATAATAGATAAAATAGATATGTATAGATAAATATTAAATAGATATTAAAAGAGATAAAACAAATATTTATGTTTCTAAATTATTCCTTTAAAAACTGCTTTTAAAATTTATGTCTAATAGTTGGACATATGAAACCAAATACAGGCAATTATATTGTTAGATCTTAGGTTACAATGATCATGAGAAACAATTTTTAATTTTTCGCTTACCGACTGATGTGCTGCTATATATCCATGGGCACTTTTATCTGAAAAGTCAGAAGAAAGAAGTCACTTGTGTTTCATAAATTCTACCTAAAAAACTGCTTTTCTTTGATGAGAAGGAAATTTCAGCATGAATCTATGATAAATGACATGTTTCTCTCTCTAAAATGGCTCATATTAGGCCTAACCATACTTTCAGCAAGTCACTTTACAAATCTTAATGAAAGCCTCATTTCAACAGGAGTAATGTTATATTTCCTCCTTTCTCTATATGCTAAATGATTTTCCCTATAAAACCAACACAGATGACTTTTCTCAAAAAATAAAGTGATAAACAAAATGAAAAATGATAGATAAAATATTAAATACAAAATGATAAGTGAAATATGTACATAAAAGTGAATGAAATCACAATTTGGGATTAACATAGGTATGTATACACCAGCAAATGAAGTCACAATTCGGTATTAACAATTGTATTTCAATATCGACGAATAGTAACATGAATGGCTTTCTTTATCCCCCCAGTGGGGGACCCAATACAATTAACCTGACAAGCACAAAAGTTGTTCTGTATTGTCATGAAACAGATCACTTAATCTAAGGGACAAAATACATTTCTAGCGATCATTGTTCATCCATACACTCTTACTCCATGACTATATCCAAGGCCTAATACTAAATGACTGACTGGACCCATACTAGCGAAGAGTTAGAACTGTGATTGCTGATTCAATCTAACCATCACTGCTCCAGTGAACATTTTCCTTATTTGTACTATAACAACATTGAACTAAAACAAAGCCCCTAACACAAGTATCAAATTCCCACCCCATCTGCTGGCTGACTCACACTGAAACCATTTGCAGAAAATACTGAAGCTGACCTCAGTATTGTATACATATTTTGGCCTCACCATGAGGCTCTGAGAACTGGGATTTATTCTTCACTCTTCGATTCCATAGAATTCCCTTACCTCCTGATGTAAAGCTCATGTATTTCTGATTGTTGACTGTTTCTTTGGAGTCATAAAATTTGAGAACGTCGAGAACTGCTTGTGGGTTCTTCTTCTGTTCCAATTTTGTTATGTTGGAGGTTTGGAGTAATCGTGCCCATTGCTCAGGAATTCCCTGTGGACAACCAAAGGGAAAGAATGGCTGCTCAGAACATATCAGGAGCATGTGCATGTTCCAGTAAAGTTCTTCACCAAGAAGCCCATGCTACCTGTAGGATTACACTTGGGAAACTGAAGTTACATTCTAGATTTAACGTTAGTAACTTAATAATGCAATCATTCTCTTCTTTAATCAAAACACATAGGTAAAACTAGGATCCAACTTAAAAAGGGTGGGTGATAGTATGATTGTGATTAAAAAAAAAAGCACATGGAAATCACCTCCATATTGACTCTGCTCATCCATGAAATGATGTTTACAGCTTAGCTTAATTTTTTTTCTGGTGACTCAGGGCAGACATAGCAAGACTTCTCTAAATTTGTGCACAGTATAGTAATGTGCAGATCAACTTTTTTGTTTTGATTTGTTTTTATTTTTTTTAATGACTAGAGCTCTTTTTGGGTGTGTTTTAACCAGAATATCCTTTCAAATAAAAGGAAAGCCCTACCCTTGGTCGGCTTATATTTTCTGTTTACAAATTGTAATTTAGGGGTTCTAGGGCTTTATGATAACGTCAAATTGGGAGGAGAAAAATTAGAATTGTGGAGGAGCAATTGCCACTGAAACACTAAACAGTAGCATTTATGCTGCTTTGGGTATTTTTCATGCAGCTTTCTCCAGGGCAAGCCTTCCTCCTCTCCTCCCCCTCTTTCTTCCTCTCTACTTCATTCATTGGCCACATAGAAGCTGGGGACTGTAAAACCATACCAAAGCCTTGAGAGAATTTGTAATGAATAATACGAAGCATTTAGAGCACAGAGATGGGGAATATTCAGAACTCTAACCAAGAATTATTTAAAATTACAGAGAGGTTAGCTTTACACCGAGCATTCAGTACTCTTTCCTGCATGTTCAACCTGCAGATGCCCCCATTTTATAATTATCCAACCCCCAAGAACAGCTCGGAGAGAGAAACTGATACACTATTGCTGAAGTGCATCCAGACACAATTTTGATGGCTTTGTCCCATGAAGTCTCGGCAAGACAATGTGTGACATGGGCCTCCAGAGTTTGGGAATGACAACAAAAATGTGAGATAAGCCAAGCAACGACTCTACTGCACACACATGAACCTGCTACTGCAGTGCTATGACATCTCAAAGAAGCACTTTGATGCAAGCTTCTTTTGGGCCTGTGACGCACCTCTGGGAGCTTCCCTGGGCACATCTGTGAGCCATAGAGATCTGGCTGTAATGGACGTAAATAAAGAAAGAAAAGAAAGTTAAAATAGAATGTGGGACAACTTAGAAGGTGGGAAGAGATGAAATCAATGGGTCTGAATGGGGGGGTTCCCTTTTAAAGTGGGGTGATTATGGAAATAGGGAGGTATTACTTAAACCAGGGACAGAACAGGCTATAGGACATCGTATTTAAGAGAACAGAGAAAACAATAGTGCCCCAAAGTTTGGATATATAATTCCACTTTGGGCCAGATGCTTCCTCCATAAATAGTAAGAATTATCATTAAGCAATTGGGGAAATTACTAAAAAGAAACAACAAAGATTTGGAGGGACAAAGGATGGCATTATGAAAAGCTTCAATAATCATTTGTAAGTTGCTTTTATAACTGGGTCATCACAGCCAATGGTCATGGGATGAACTTACAAATTTCAGTTCCCAATTCTGGTTAACTAAATTTCCATTTCACATTGTACATATCTATGTAACTAAAATTCAGGGGATGGCTATATAACAATATTGAGCTTTTTAAAAAAATTGACATTATTCTTCTATATTTTATGGCTAAAGTCATGGGTGGCTGAGAGAAAATTAGACTAAAGCCATCCCTACACAGCCAGGCACTATGCTTAAGTTTAATACAGACTTCTATCAGGGAAAGGGAAAACATTTCATTTCAAATCTTGCATGAATAATTTCCACTTAATGATATAATTCCCAAACCCAACTTCCCACAAATATCAGATACAAATTAACAGACTTGTCTAATTTATGATATCTCAAATGCTAAAGAAACATGCTTTGACCCAACTGCTTTGATTTGGGATATATGTCCTTGATCCCTGGCATTTATGGTTACTCCAAGCACAGTGAAACAACACTTTTACATGCATTCATCACACAGTTTGATGCTAAAGCCTTAAGCCAAAAATTGGAACTCAGGAGCCCATGCATGATCCCAGTTCTGATTCTAAGAGCAATTAATAGCATTTTGTTAATACTGTAATGGCCAAAGGAGTTATTAAGTGTTACAAATCCAGGTATGCATTGCACATAACCACTAAAGCAGACTTCACTGGCATGAATCATTAGAATATTTGTAGGTAGTATATATTCCCGTGGCACTTCTAAACTTTTGTAATAAATAGTTGTGTGATCATCACTAGACAGCAGAAAAAAATGCTGTCAGTTGAAGAAGTTCCTCCAGATAACTCTACTTACCACATGACTACACTGCTGACATAATTTCTCTTTTCTAAGATGAGACAAACCAGTTTATCAATGAGACCTGATTACTATAATTTGAGCACATGCCACAATGGCACATAATCAGAGAGTCATCTCATTACTCCAAATTGAGGAACTAATCTAAAAGTTAGACAGCTAATGAAGACCTAGAGTCTAAGCATCAGAAGCAGGAGCACATATTGATGCCTGTATATACACAATAACAAGTAAGTGTACATCAAGCTGGGGGTGTCCAGTGTAGCCCAGGAGAATGGCAGCATGATATAACAGGCCAAGCATTTATCTTATCATAAGAAATGATAATTTATATCACTCATACCATTTTTCCCTCTGATTGACTTGAAGCGACCGTCACAGGTCTAGAGGTCTGGAAAGGGGAGTTCTGAAGTATTTGGGACAAAAATGGCAATATAATGGGTAAGGACTTGTAATAATTTAATAACCCAAATCTCACCTCCCATCCTAATTTTAGCTTTAGGGTCCAAGTATATGCCCAGGTATACTAGGTTATATGAGCCAATTAGCCATTAGGGTAATCACCAAGCAACATATCAAACTAGTGTTCAATTATTCAAAAAAGCAGGCTCTTGTAAAACAACTGGTCTACAGTTCAGCAAATTGCTCAAAATTCAACCTCCACAACCACAATAATCAAATTTCACAATATGATTTCCCCCAACAATGACCTAATGGTAACTACAGTAATTGAGACCCAATTCTAAATCCTACTAGTAGAAGTTTTAAAGGCTTATTACCTTTGGTGGTTTAAAAGTTAAATATACTAGAATATTAATTATAAGTCATAGGTTAAGATAATAAGGTAGAATTTATGATCATTTAAAAATGTATGTACAAGTAGCTGCAAGATCATCAAGATGAAACCAAAGTATTTGCTCTGGATCTGTCTACAAGGTCAATGAATTTCTTTTAGTTGACTGCAAACAGCTATTTCATTTCAAATGAATTTTATAAGAAGATGTTGTTTGGTTTGGTTGCATCAGGACTAGAAAGGCTGTCTATCGTATGTTCCACCTCACTCTTGTCTGATTGGTCCACTGGGTTCTAATTCAGACCACAATGGAAATGGCTGGTGCTGCAGTCAGCAAGATGGTGGTGATTTAGTTTCCCTTTATTTCCATTCAGAACCCAGAAAGACTAAAGAAAGCACTAAAGATGGGGAAAATGTGGCAAAAGCTGTCAAATAGGCAGAAAGAAATAAAACAAGTGGAAGTGAGCCAGAATGCTAGATGAGAAAATAGTCACAGCTGAACCAAAACAGAAAAAGAACAAGAAAGCATGGCATAACAGCAACCAAACTAAGAGGAGTTTAAAAAGAAGAGAAGCATAGAGGGACTAAAAAATGAAGCTCTTAAAATAAAAGAGATGAATTATTAGACAAAACTATAAAGTTTGAGGGCTTTTCCTGTTTCAAATATCAAAAAATGAGTTAGAATCTCTTTGGATGTTTTGAAAAACACACAATGGTCAGATTACAAAAGCAACTTTTATCCAGTGGGAAAGATGGTGGTCATAGTGTTGATAATCAGTTTGTAATTTCAAGATGTAGGACAATGAAATAAAAGCTAGGCTCAAACTAAATGGCATTTAAGTAATGTCTTTGACTCAATAACAAAATCCATTAAATTGTATCTGTCTCAATTTCCGCAGTCTCATTTTTCTGCTTGCTACTGAGAACATAGAAATAATCAGCCTACACTAATTTATGATGCCAAGACATTTACTTTGTGTCTATTTCCTTCCAAAATTGAACAAATAAAATAATTTGGCTGCCAATTCAGTGGTGTAGTTTAGTTCTCCAAATGAAATGGACTTGCTTCTTTACCCCTACTTAAACACACAACACAGTCCATTCACTAACCATTATGCTATGAGACAGGGAATTTGACACTTCAATATTGATATTTTTTCTAGCTTAGTAAGACAAGAATTATTGTGATTTTATCAAAGTTTTAATTTTCTAAATTAATTTGAAGCTCTTTATTGTTTCAGAATGCACTTGTTGATTGAGTTGTTTTCTAGTGTAGAAAAAATTAGCTGAAGTATGAGGTCATATTTCTAGCAACATCTCTCCTATCACCCATTTAATAAAGGGAGTGCCAAATAATTTCTTTAGAGGAATGAAAAGGCACATATCTGAGAGTTTTTCTATTTGAGCACTGCAATTATCCAAAAAGGGAATAGATTTTGGACCGATGTCATATCCAGATAATTCATGTTGACAATCATTATAGATGATTCATATATAATGTGTATATAATCACATAACTGCTAATGCATATGTGATATACAATTATTAATATTTCTTCCTGAAACACGGGCCTTGTGCTTTTGAATGTCTACAAAATAAACCTATTAATAATCTTAAAAATAATCTATGTTTTTAAAATCAAAAGTGTAACAGGCAAATTTTACAGAGACTTTTGGTTAGTGTAGTTATCTGTGTAATTCAGGACCCACCGTAAAGCCTGAATTATTCAGATGAACTGCCTTCACTGGACAAGTTGAATAAATTATTATTTGATTAGCTCCACATGATTAAAGAACAGGTTCAGGCAGGGTCTCCTTACTATAACTACGTTTCCTGTGCCTTGGCAAATAAATATTTTCAAGTAAGTTGAAAGTTATAGGCTGATCAGACACTAATATAAGATGGACAGAATAATTTTGTCAATGTTGGTGCCCACTTTCTATTTCTATGTATGATTATCCAGGAAACGTCCATCTCTAGTCTAACATTTTGGAATACAGCAATTCTTACTTGAAACCTATTTTCATAAAGGAAATAGTTGTGTTTTTTTTTTGTCATGGCTTACAAAACAAAATAAGGAGCTTACTTACAGTGAATTCCCCGGTGACAGCATCAAACCCCACATGAATCGTATGTTCAAAGTCTGAAGGAAGAGAGATCTCTGGGCGTTCTTTCTCTTTCTTCTTATTGGCTAAAGACAAAATGTTAACATGTATTTATTTGAGGTATAGTTTTGGTTTTCATAAGCTGTATTTAGTAGGTTCATCAAAACATTTATAGAATAAAAAAACAGCAGACTTGTTTAAATCTCAAATTTAAAATTTAAGATTCAGTATTTTCAGGAACATATGTGCCATGTATCTTAACCTCAGAAAAGATGTCATTGTTTATAGCAAGCTCATTTCAGTAATTGATATTATCCTTGCTGAGCAGTGACTTGAGACCTCTCAACTGTTAGTCCAAATTCCTCTGCAGGTTTGTATACCGTAGTGGCCATTTATACTTGGTCAACTATCATTTCTATTTGTCCAGAGAGGCAAATGGAACAGCTTCCCCTTGTTCTTGTTCCACTGAAGTAATTCCTGTGGACTTTGTCTTCATTTTCCAGTTTTCTGATTGTTCATCCTTCCTGGATATGGCTAACCACGTGTCTCTTCATTTCCTTGACAGTATGCTCTGATTTTCTTCCTCACACAACAACCATTATTTGTCTATCATTGTGTTTGTTGGTTTACCTTCCTTAGTGCATTCTCTGTCCTTCTTAATTTTTCTCTATACAAAATCTTTTCTCTTAAACTAACTCCACTTTCAGACACAAACCCATGTCAAGCAATTTCCTAATCTGGCTGAGAGAGGTGGATCAAGCTATTCTATTACCAAATACTAAACACACTTTTAAAAGGAGGCTTTTATGTAAATAAAGAACAATAGAAAATTATAAACACGTAATTCCTAATTTATCAAGGCTCCCCAGGGCTTTGGAAGTGTTCCAGTTGCATGCAGAAGCATTTAGAAGTAGCTTCATTTGTGTCATAGAAACCGGCTCTTGATATCCTCTATAGGCTATATTCCACTTGAAAAATCAGAAGAAATTTGTAGAACACCTGCCCATCAAAATGTAGTAAAACTATATACACAATTTTGCATTTACTTTCAGAAGTTCATAATTCCCCTCAATTCCAGTTGGGGAGCCTCTATTTTATGCCCCCACATCTTTATATCAACCTTCATCCATGGCTTCTTTGCCAGGAAACAAATTCTCCCCTCTTCTCTACTGGCTGCACATTTATGACATACCGTCTTAGATGTAAGTACTCCACATGAGCAAAATTCTGTGTAGACTTTACTCCAAGTCTCTCTCTAGAAGGTTGCTTGATAACCAGTCTTTTGCCTTCTGTTGACGCCAAGTGAAAAAAGCAAGAAATGCAAACTTTTGCTCCTCCCCTGGTTTCCTACCTCAGGAAAACAATATTGCTAACCATCCGGATTAGAGGAGGAGCATGGTCTTAGACTCCTCTTTAGGAAGAAATAGAGCAAAGAAGAGGTTATTCTATCTATCTCCAATAGATTATTGAAAGAAATTATTCTAAAATACACAAAAATTAGGAAATACAAAGCATACTGACATTCAGAGAATGATATTTGGCTCTTTAAAAGAGTTGTATGCATTTATGCTTTTTCTTTGGTGCTTTCTCTTGTTTGGTTGTTTTGTCACATTATTATTTGTTTGTTTTTGATTTATCTTATTTTATTGCTATTCCTTAGATACCTGTTTGTTTTCTAAGAGAGACAGAAAAGGGGTGGGTGGATCCAGATTGGGGAAGGAACTGGGAGGGGGAGGAGGAGAAGAAACTATAATCATAATATATTCTATGAAAAAAATCTATTTTTAACAAAAAAAATTAAAAAAAGAAATTGTATATTCAAATCATAATGTTCCCACATAACTACTAAGTAATCTTACATTGGCCTAGATGACAAAACCAAACAATTTGGGGGTTATCTTAGTTTTTACTGTATTTCTATATTATTGGTCTGGCTTCAGAAATTGTATTAAATCTATCTTCTTTATTTTCAGAAGTCACTATCTTTGTCCAAGGCATCAGTATTTTCCTCTTGGCTCCATGCCTCGAGTTTTGTCCCCTCTGACTCATTTCTCTATTCTGTGGCCAGGTCCTGTTCCTGCCTTTAAGATCATTTAAATACTCCTCTCATTACTTATGTGTTAAAATGCATGCTCCTGGGGTTGAGGGCTTAGCTCAATGGTAGAGCGCTTGCCTAGCAAGCACAAGGCCCTGGTTCGGTCCTCAGCTCTGAAAAACAAAATAAAATAAAATGCATGCTCCTGAACATGATATCTAAGAGCATGCATGACCTGGTCACAGTTTACTTCTCCAGCTTCTATTGTTGCAATGGAACACAATCTCCACATTCATTTTATGCTTCCTAAGTAGATGTGTTTTTTCTTGCTTCCAAGCTTTTATTTATGCTAAGCTATGGCTTGGACCATTGATTGCTTTGTGTGGATTACTCCCCTTTGGTTTCTACTCTTTTTATTTTATTTTCATTTACAGTGCTGGAGATCAAACTCATTCCTCACAAAATTTGGGCATCAGCACTTTAGCAGTCCTTATTCTTGAAGACTCTCCACGGCAAACCTTACACTACTCTCCCTCTGCAAAGTTCAATGTTCCTTGTTTCATGTTTTCACAGAACCACCTCATATATAGTCTAAGCTTAGCACTTACCAATACTGGATTATTATACATTCTTTGTCTATCTTTCTAGCTAAAATTCAAAACACTTGACAGCAGACCTCATCTTAATTCTTACATTCTCCAGCACCTGTCTTGTGCCTGAATATTCAATAACCATCCTTTAAGGAAGACTCACCTTGAACAAAGTAATTCCAGAGCTATCTCATTTAAACTATAGCCCCAGCTATACACAGCTGGCAACAGTCAGACCTAGTATTTGAACCTAATTCTCACTATATCCATGTACCTAAGCTTGTAGTAGCCACATAACTGATGGTTTGGTGGCATTTTCAAGAAAAAAAGTTTTTGCTCTAGCCTTCAGCAAATATTTAGTGATTGAATAACCAAATATTAACTAAATAATGAAATAACTAATAATTCGGAGCTTAGATAGCTGATTTTTGTTTTACTTATTTCTTAGGAATTCTAAAACAAGTTTATCTCCCCTAAAAATTCTGGGAACCTTGGTCATGTGTACTAAAACTCATCCTAACATTCAACCTGATTAGCTCAAGGCTGGTATTTGAAGAGAAGAAAAACCCAAGTGCCCATCACTTTCTGAATGTAGCTTCCATATTCTGCCGGAAAAGAGAGCAAAGTCACAGATTACTGGCTGGACCACAAATTGCAAATGTCATTTGGCTTGGAGACCTTCTATGTATGGATAGATTTTTCTTGCTACCTTAGGGATAGCTAAACTGTCCAAAATCTCATATATTGCCATCCATTTCGATTCTATCACCATATAAAGAAACAAAAATCCCTCTAATAATCTATCATCCCTTGTATACCTAATCCTAGTATTCTGTATTCTCTCTAGAGCTAAAGCTTATATCATTAAGAAAAAAAGCCTCTTTTCTACATTACACGTATTCATTAAATGCTTTCATCATTTCTTGCCACAGGTTCTCAAATTTCTCTGTGATCACTGTTATCTGGGGGATTTATATTAAAAATGAGATAATACTAGCCCTACCCTAGATGTGTGAGTTGTCAATTATCTGATGAGGGTGAATGCTTCCTCGGATATTCTAATGGAAGCTGTTCACTCTTCTCTATCCCAAGTCCTTTCTACCTGCCAGAATGGGGAAGTTATACTTTATTCCAATTTATTCCAAATTGTTTATTTGAGGTCAGTACTTCTGCACTTGCCTACAAATTACCCTCCTTTTGAGGTGATTGCCACTTTCTCCTTATTCATGCCCCTGTGTCCTTTGAAGACCTTGGCTTCCAGTCTTCCTTCCTAATCTCTCTCTACACTGACATTACTCTGAAACCAAAGATCTAAGTGGGTAATTTCTTTATGCTCTTCCCTTAGGGGGATTCTTGACCTTCCTCAGATTCGACCAGTGTTATCTTCCTTCCTTTTTTTTTTCCAATTCACTCCCTACCCCATCTTTTAAAGGAATGATTGATTCTCAATCAGACTTTACCAGAATACCGTGGAGAATTATATAAAATTTCAATATCTGGTGTCTACTTAGAACTGACTATCAGTCAAATGATTTTACAAACCCCAGAGAAAATGTATAGCTAGGGTGGAGAACCCCAAGTACTCCAGGTGCTTTCATTATCCAGAACGACCTTTTCTCTGAAATAGTCAATTCCGTTTTCTTATACTCTAAGCTCAGCCTCCCATTCTACTAACCTTCTAATTCTCCGATGTCATTTCTACACTAATGTCAACAAAACCTCCATTCTCTGGCTTTCTCTATTTTAAGGCCATTTCAACATCTCCGTGGCCTACATTCTATGGTGCGTCATGTAAATGGTTCCTACTCTACAGTCCTAGGAACTCTCACACCATGAATTCCTCTAGCAGTTGTCTGGCAAAGCTCCACCTGACATAATTCAACCCTATACTATACTAGAGCTGCTGAGGATCGCTAGCTGGAGGGATTACATGGCAGTGTGGATTCTTTTATTATTCAGGTCACACACCCTACTTAGGACACTAACGATTCTTGCAAGATTCTTTTCTTCTTCCTTTTTAGTATTTCCCTCTTCACTGGAACTTTCATTTAGGCTCAAGAGACATGTTGAGATCTCTCCACTCAAAAAAAAAGTCCTTCAACCTCCTCTTATCCATGACTCACTGCTGTAATCACTCACCACTTCCTTATGTGGGTTAAACTTATACAAAAATCAATTTATACATTATCTCTCACTTCCCCAACAACTGTAATAACTCCCCGAAGACACACATTAATCTCTTTCTTTCCCAAGTGCCACTTTTCAGTACTTAGACCACTCACTGTCTTCTCAATAAGAACCAACATCGTTGATCAAGAACATCTTGAAACTCCTCTACATAGCTCTTTCCTAGAATCCACTTCTATATTTCTGGCCTTTCCTTTTCAGCCTTATTTGCAAGAGTCGTTTCCTGCTGGCTGGTTAGATCACATTCACTAGAAGCTGCCTTAGGGCACCTCTC